CAGTTTTCGTTCTCCGGACCAGAATCGCAAAACGAAGCACTGAAATCCTCCCTTGGTAACTACAAGGCATACAAAATTATTATTTCCACAATGTTATCTAGGAGGTTCTGAGTGGTAGAAAATAAATTCATAGTGCCATCTCCTTGTTTACCTTATATATACTACATATATAACATCCGCTATATGTATATCTCTGCGACGTTGACCAGCCCCTTCTCCGTCGCTTCACACAGCAACTCCCCCTCCTCATCGCGCTCCGGATACTGCCACGAGTCTTTAACAACGAGGGTTGCTCGGAATTCATCTTCGTCAAGATGCGTTGCGTCCTCCAGCATGTCATCGCTCGCCCGAAAACGCACTCCGCACGCCTGACCACCTCGTCAATGACCAGGGGCTCTTCTCTGCCGTCCCGCTCTATCTTGATGTAGTGCGAGCCATCAGCGTTAACGTAATACTACTATACCCTATGGCATGCTGTAATTGTGGTTCTGCACTCGGCGGGAGAGAGCCACTTAGTAATGAAAGTGGCACATTAATGGTTCGAATACAAGCTATCTCAGCTAATTGTCCTCTACATTTGGCATCATAAGACGTAGACTTCAATATGCCCCGTTGTATGATAAAAGCTTCACCTGGCAGGCGTCCATAGGCCCCTCTTCGGTCGTTACTTATAATAACGAGTGGAATTCCGGCAGCTACCACAGGGGCCTCCTGGGCTTCTGAGAGCTAGCAGATACCCTAAGGATGGCCGAGACGAATCGCAGGCCCTCCTTGTGGATGTCAAACTGCTCGGATGCAATCCCTGCCAGATGGTGAAAGTACTCTAGCCTCATGAGCGACATATAGAGCGTGAAGCCTGGCACGAGGGGCCGAGAGTCCTGTATAGCTAGCACCTCCCTTGCATATCTCCCTTGGTTGGACCTGGACTGGGTTTCGTAGCCTGGGTTGTTCTTCAGCCTCCCGGGAATAAGTATCTGCGACTAGACGTACTTCAAAATTTCACTGGGTTCTTCATCGCGGACTGCTTTCAATAAGGGAAGAAGGGAAGAAGGCGTGTGGCATCGTATTCAGTTGCAATCTCTGAGTTGAGCCGTGAAACATCAGTGTAAAGCGTTCCAGATCCTCTAGTACAAGGTATTTTGCGACAGGCCGGGAGGGTTTTTCAGGGAGTTATGAGAAAAATCCAGTACTCTGTTTTGTTGTCGTCCGGTTCATCTCCATCAGCCTGGCAGGAGCTCCAGCACCTCAGAAAGACATGCATCGTACAAGTCCTCAAAGCGCATCTCAACTCTTACTGACTGATTGTTGAATGAAGATGTTGAATGAAGATGTTGAATGAAGATGTTGAATGAAGATGTCCCACCTAGCCGAAGAGTCAGTCACGTGTAGATATCCAACTTACTAAGCAAGTGGATTATATAATTAAGTACTCCGTAAGTACGTAAGCAACTATACTTATACTTATTAAGTAAGTGAGTACAGGCTGGGGAATGCGGGGTTGACCAGGGGCCACTGTTATTTTGCCTGCGACAACTAAAATCCCGGACTTTTTTGACTGCAACGCTGGCCCACCTCGGCTAGCTAGGACTTCCTTACATCAACCTCCGGACTGAAAGCCTCAGCAGGGGGTCGCAGCCAACGAAGCGAACGACAGGGCGTCCCTTGGCCGTCCAGGGCGGCTGGCTCGAGTTGGAGGTGACCAACTAAAATCTCCGGGACGCCGTTCCAGAAATTAAGAAGATTTCAGGAGTCGGAGGTGTGGAACTCTCAAACAGACCCTTCAAAGGCTTGATGTATCGCGCTTGAGGACAGGTCCAGCACATCAATCAGCGAAAGAAAAAGGCACAGCTTAAAATAGTCTTGACATGCCTATATATGTATGCCACTTTGAAACAATTTCCAGAACCTTGCAGGGTGGACACGACTCTCATGCCATGTTGGCTTCTCTGGTTTGATTACGGTTGTTTATCTGTGGAGTCAGCCAGAGATCGGCACGGCGGTCTTTTCAAACGACCCGTGATGGATGTTCATGACGCCCCATCTCGTACTCTTCCACTCAGGCGTGTTTTGCGTGAGGTTGCGCTTGTTTGCATGTGTGGTCGACAAGTGACGTCTTGTCATGCCCATTACTGCAAGCTCAGTTGCGCGCGGCCTTGCCGTATGCCGTGATCGTCATACAGGCTCTGATATCGTAACCACCTTGTGAAGAACGCCCTAAGACAATCTGGTAACTATATGGGACACAACGGCTGGCTGCGGCAGAGGCCATCTTGTTCCTGGTCCTGCTTCTCGCGTCATGAACCTGCCCAGTTGCTGAGATTACCCGAAGTAGCCACCCCGATTGTGAGGGTGAGCGCTTCATATGCCTCTCTATGACCAGTACTGGTTAAGAGTGCTACCCGTCTATTGGGTAGTTTTCTTAAGGATATTGTGTCAGGTTGTTAGGGGCTCTGTGCCTCCTGAGGTCGAGCCACAACACAGCACCCGTGTTTGACATGAATGGCAACACCATGTGGGTGCTGCCTTTACGCTTCATAATGTGGTCAAAACTTAAGTGTACGGAGTACTCTCTGGCCCATTATTATTGTTATTTCAGTCTCTCAGACAGCCTTCTCCACCCCGGAGGGAGAGGAACTTAATTCACCACGGCTGATGTTCTTTTTTTTCCCGCTGATCGGCAAATTTGAAGCATGCGTGTTGCTATAAGTACTGGGCTACGTTCCATCACGTCTGCTGAAGTTAGGCAGCAGTAAACCTCAGACACTGGTGTCTGGCTTCTTCCGGCAGTTGTATTCCCCTTTTTATTCCCTGGATATCCAATTCCTCCCACTCTCGCAACAATGCAGTCCCTTTTGTTGCTTGCCACGCTTCTAGGCTCTGCACTGGGCGGTGCCATTCCTTCCCAGAGCGCAAACTATAATGGATACAAAGTCATGCGCGTGTCTGGAGATGATACCAGCAAGATCTCGCACATTGTTTCCAAGCTGGGCCTGGAGACCTGGAAATTCCCCAAGGCCGCTAACGCTAATGTCGACATCGTCGTTCCCCCCAAGAAGGTAGCCGAGTTTGAGAAGATGTCACACGCTGCTGGCCTCAAGAAACAAGTCATGCATGAGAACCTAGGGGACTCTATTAAGTCCGAGATGTCCTTCCGTCCTTATTCCTGTGAGTTGCTTACCCTGGGTATATCGGGTCATATTACCTGGCTCAATTACTTACGTTGAGTTTTCGCAGATGGTGGCGCCAACGATACTTGGTTCCAGTCTTACCACAAGTACGAGGATCACTTGAAGTTCATGCAGGACTTTCAAAGTGCTCATTCTCAGAATTCTGAGATCGTTACGTCTGGAAAGTCGCATGAAGGCCGTGATATCACCGGTGTCCATGTCTGGGGAAGCGGTGAGAAGGGATCCAAGCCAGCTGTAGTCTTCCATGGAACCGTCCACGCTCGTGAGTGGATCACCACCATGGTAAGCTAACCATAAGGTATCCTTTCAAAAACATAATTATTACTAACTTTATATTTACTACAAGACCGTTGAGTACATTCTTGCCCAGCTTTTTGATGACAAAGAAGCTGGAGCTGCTCTTCTTGAGAAGTTTGACTTCTACATCTTTCCGATCGCTAACCCCGATGGTAAGATGTCATCTCCATCCATGATCATACCTGACACAGTTACTAACAGTTAGTAACCTCGGATAGGTTTTGTTTTTACCACTGAGAGCGACCGCATGTGGCGCAAGAATCGTGAGCAGAACGAGGGAGGCTGCTATGGCACTGATCTCAACCGTAACTGGCCATACAAATGGGAAGGCGATGGCTCCACCACTGATCCATGCTCCGAAACCTATCGAGGTATGCACCACTACCACCCGAGACTTATATTCACTATAAATGCTAACCCGTAGTACAGGACCCTCTCCCGGTTCTGCCCCAGAGACCAAGGCTAGCACCAGCTTCATCAAGGGTCTCGCTGATGGTGCTGGCGTCAAGATGTTTGTTGACTGGCACTCTTACTCTCAACTATTCATGACCCGTAAGTTTCACTCCGTGTATAATATTCAGAAATGCACCGTACTAAACCTCATGCTCAATAGCATATGGCTACAGCTGCTCTGCTCGTGCACCAAACGACGATGTCCTCCAGGAGATGGCAAGCTCGTTTGCTGATGCTGTCAAGGCTGTCCATGGAACAAGCTTCACCACCGGCCCTATCTGCAATACCATCTACCAGGCCAATGGTAACTCTGTCGATTGGATTGTCGATGAGATCAAGGGCGAGACTGCCTTCGCTGCCGAGCTCCGTGACACTGGCATGTACGGCTTTGTCCTACCCCCAGAGCAGATCATCCCAAGTGGTGAGGAAACCTGGGCTGGCGTCAAGGCTATGTTCAGTAAGCTGAAGTAAACTGGCTGCTCTCTGGTCGCTGTATCTAGTTTGAGAGAGTGTAGTCCTGGGACTACTCTTTGTTTATAATATCTTACTTCTTGTACATAGTTGTGTGGAATATATGTATGCCGCTGCCTTGGTGTAGCCGCACTTCATCTCCACAACCTAGCCCCGCAATCCATTATCTTCCATCGTATGCTGCCAACTGCCATCCGGATCTCTGATGCGTCTCATGCAAGGGGCCGGGGCGCTTAAAATACCACGTGACCGATCTCAGTCGGGTCACCAAAGCGATCGGTCTAAAAAGTAGCTTAGTTCAGCCCTACCTACGTCAACCCGCTTCTCCCCTGGCAACAACAACTGCATCATTTAGTATCTTTTTCTCATGCTGAGAGCTGGGAGACACGACTAAAGACTAACAGTACAGAACCCATGTATCCTAATGGAGCCCGCCGCCGCAGGGCCTTCCACCTCGCGCTTTCGAGAAACCTCGGCTGCTTCTCATCCATCGCAATCCGATGAAGCCAACGCTCCCCGCATCGCACACACACTGACAGCTTGCATAAGGTGCAAACAGGTAACGGCTATCACGCCCTTTGCTTTTTTATTATGCATGGCCCTCTGTTCCCCTTTGTTCTAGCAAGGAACTGGAGCTGTCTGGATACCCGTAAGATTAGTGCTGGGACTGATGTGTGTTCAATTTATAGAGGAAATCCCGATGTGACCCCGGCATCCCCCGGTGCGAGCCTTGTAAAAGGAGTAATTCGAAATGCGAATACTATGACCACACCAAAGAAGCTACCATATCGCGTGCATACATTCTAGAATTACGGGAGAAAATTAGAAAGCTCGCTCACGAGCTCGAGGAGCTCGAAGATGAAGCCGACCGGGCCCCGGATGCTGAAGCCATGGCGCGTGGAGCCGGGCTTATCAAGTTCAAGGAGACGGACGAATCAAGGTTTTTGGGCCCTTCGAGTGGTATTGCCATTACCCGGTTTGTGATGGACATGGCAAAACAGAATACAGGTTCAAAATCCATAAAAGAGGTGGTGAATGAGAATACCGCGCAGCAGATCAAGTCGGTCTTTGATATCGAAAGCCAAAAACCAACTTCGAAGGTTTATCCTATGATCAGTTCTGTCGCTGAGCCGGATCTACCCCCTCGAGAACTCACGAATAAACTTATTGATATATTTATTGCAAAGGGTAAGCATAATTGCACCTTACGGTTTTGGACTTCATGGAACTAAATATATTCTGTGCAACAGCTCAATATATGGTTCCCATACTTCATGAACCCACTTTTCGTTCTGATGTCGACATCGTTTTTAATGGATCTCAAGATCCATGCCGGAATTTCCAACTGCGTCTTGTCATCGCCATTAGCATGCAGCGACTCAGTACGCAGTATGCGGGACTGGCTGATAGTTACTACTTAGCAGCACTGCCTTACTTCGATGGGTGCTTGGCTAAGATGGATATCTCTACATTGCAATGCTGTGCACTGATGGGTTTATATTCCCTGCTTACGCCAACCAGAACAGCGGCCTATTGGGTGGTTGGAGTTGCAGCCAAGTTATGTCAAGACCTCGGTATATCCGATGAAGAGACTGTCACCAGAGGTACCAACGGAGAGCAGCTCAATTGTCTCGAAATTGACATGCGACGGAGATTGTTTTGGATTATCACATCTATGGAATACGGCCTTGCCCATAGTCTTGGCCGTCCGAGCTCGTTCTGCGTGAGCCATGACCATATCAACGTCAACTTCTTCCAAACCTGTGATGACCGCTATATTACACCCAACGGTATATTACCCGGAGCGCAACCGATAATGAAGAAATGCATTGCAATTCATTTTTTTAAAATGAGACTTTTGCAAGCTGAAATCAGACGCAAGTTGTACCTTTGCAAACGACCAGCCCCGTTGGACGACAGAGATCCGTGGTTCACGCAGATGATAGATAAGATGGACCGATGGGTTGAATCATGTCCTAAAAATGATGAAGGCAGTGGCTTTAGCCAAATGTGGTGAGTTTTCCTTTGGTAAGAAGAACCTTTGATTCTAGAACGCCATCTAAGTATTATTATTAGGTTCCAAGGCAGACGCAACACAATGATTGTGTTCATGTACCGCCCATCTCCACAGATTCCTGAGCCTTCACTCTATGCCGCTCAAAGATGTTATGATGCTTCGGTTTTTAATGTCAAGATACAGCACCAACAGGTTGCCACTGGGACAATCGATCTTACGTGGATATTTACACAATCTGTATTCATGGCACTAAACACCATTCTATGGTCACTTTCGTACCCTGAAATTCGAAAGGAACATCCCGTTGGAGATGTAATTGGCGAAATCCGCCTCGCGATGGAAATCCTTGCTATCAGTTCCGAACGTTGGCCAGGAGTTGAATCTGCTCTGGAGCTCTACAAAAGCCTTATTTCGGGCTGTCTCAAGGCTTATGCAACTGATGAGTCCTATGTGGTTCATTCGCCGCCATCCAACCGCCCTTCTCCGGCGCCTAGCTCTGATTTCGCAACACC